GAAGCCATATTGTGGAAAAAAAGACCCTACTGTAACTTTGAATGACCTCTGACTAACTAACCCAGCTGGATATGCACCCTCCAGGAGATCTACCTGCTCTGTAGATTTCATGACCCCTGCTTGTGTATGTACCTCCCAGCTGCGATAAGATGATAACCTTGTTCTTTTGAGTTCCTTAGGAATGTGATGACCCCCGAACAGAGAGTCTATGCTGATAGCCATCATCAACGAAAACTGAAAGATCTGCTGTGGTGACTCCCAGTCTGTAACACCGGCGGGTCAACTTTCCTAACCCCTCCCCTATAGCCCATGGCCCTATATAACTGCTTCAAGATTCTGTGCCCCCCTAAAGATGGTTCTTTAGGACTCTAGTCCCTCCATCTTCTGATTTGCTAGCTTGGCGCTTAATAAAATGCCCTTTCTCTGCCACCATCTTGCCACTTGACGACTGGCTTTTGTCTCATGGAGAGCAGATCATACTCTGTGTAGTAACATTGTCTATAGGATGAAGCCACTCAACATTGAAGAGCTTTTTTGGTGTGTGTGAGGAAGATTAGCCCTGAGCTAACACCTGTTGCCAACCCTCCTCCTTTTGCTGAGGAAGATTAGCCCTGGGCTAACATCCGTGCCCATCTTCCTCTACTTTATATGTGGGACGCTGCCACAGCACGGCTTGATGAGTGCCGCACGGGTCCATGCCTGAGATCTGAAGCTGTGAACCCCTGGCCACTGAGGCGGAGCACGTGAACTCAACCACTACACCACTGGGCTGGCCCCTGAAGACATTTTAAAACCTGGTCCCCTTTAGGTTTCCAGCCCACTTAAGACCACTTCCTCAAACACACCCTAAGAGCACGCAGCAAGGAGTTACCCCCTCTTTCCTGGCCTCCATTGCTGCATGCTCTTTTGTGTTTCCAAACCTTTGTTATTACTTCTCTGCACTTTTTGAAATGCTTCTCTTTCCTTAACAGGAGAAAAGTCACTTTTGTGATATCCCTCTGTGCTAATGTATTTGGTCTTTGTCCCAGGCTCCTGGTGCAGAGCCCCTAAAACCTTTGGAATTTCCTGCGTGATGAGAGTGTCTTTTGTCATTCATAAGGAGCCATTTCAGATCACACCTGAGTTTATGCCAATGAGGTGACTGAGGGTAGGCCCCCAGATAGCCTCAGGATGGGGCTGGTCACCAGAAAGACCACAGGATTAGAGGGCTGGAACTTTCACCCCACTCACTGACCTCTAGCGAAGCAGGGCGGTGGAGGGGGCTGGATGTTAGCTCTATAAAAACTGAACAAGATTTGATGACCTTCTAGGTCGGTGAATGCATCCACATGCCAGGAAGGTGGTACCCCCAGTTCCACAGGGACAGAAGCTCCTGTGCTCTGGATCCTTCCAGACCTTGCCCTGTATACCTCTTCATCTGGCTGTTCATCTGTATCCTTTCTCATATCCTTTAAAATCAACTGGTGATTGTAAGTAAATGTTTCCCTGAGTTTTGTGAGCTGTTCTAACAAATGATCAAACCTGAAGAGGGGATGTTGGGAATCTCTGATTTATACAGCCAGGTAGCCAGAAGCACAGACGACAGCCTGGACTTGCTCTGGTGTCTCAAGTGGGGGAATCTCGTGGTACTGAGCCCTTAAACTGTGGGATCTGACAATAACTTCAGGTAAGTAGTGTCAGAACTGAGTTAAGTTGTAGGACCCCCAGCTGGTGTCCACAGAGAATGGAAGAAATGCTTGGCGGTGTTGGAAAACATTCCAGCCTCTCATTCAGTTTCTTTTAAATTAAGATAAGTATCCAACAAAGTAATGTTTATCTGCATATGGTGCTAACTTTCAAGGAATAATCTATTCCTATGGTTCTAAAGGAAAAATCAATTGCCCTAAAAGTGGTGATAATATTCAAAGCACAACTTCTACAAGTGTGGCTATGACATTGGGAGAAGTGGGACTCAGAGGTAATATAATTTTTCATCAAAAATTTGTTTAGGGTTGACCCCCACTTGAGCCCAATCAAATCAATCAAATAACAGAAAAGTACTGGAAGAAAGATTATAATTAAGTGCTTAAGATTAAGTATTTGATAAAAGATATCTGAATCTCTATTTCTTTTTTAAAACAATGAGGTGTTTGGGAAATGATAACTATGATAACTCTCAGTTCGTTTTAAACAAATTTACTCCTGAATTGAACCAGAAGAGACTTGGGTTACCCCGTGTCGCCCAGTAGGGCACAGGAAGGTTGGGCCCGAGTACAGAGAGTGGGTCTTGTTAGCAGAATGCTTCCGGCAAATGTGTGTGAGAGCCGAAGCAATTTAGAGAACAAGGCTCATGATGTGTTGATTTACTCTGTTCTTAGATTGTCATGAATTAATTTCTTTAAAAAAAAACTAGGTTAATCTTGGAGGGACAACAAAATAAAGGGATTTTCTCTGTTTTTGAAATAACACATTAAACAAATTATTTATTCTTTCTTCACTAATCAACTAAGATCACCTTTGCTTCAATTCGCCTATTCTAAAAAATTTAAGGCTGTGTTTGTTGGGATTAAAATGTGCCTTAAAAATGGGAAGATTTGCTCAGTTAATTTTTTTATGAAATGCCAAATGATGGACATTTTATATCTCCACCTTGAGAAAAAAATCCACAAGTAGGTCATTGTTGCTGATGTAACATGGTACTGACACTGATTTTTCCAAGAAAATAACAACTTCGGTCTCCTGAGTTAGCACCCCAAGTGACCCCCAACTTCTAGGTGAGGGGACTGAGGGGCAGAGTTTCAGTGACCCCTACAACAGCAGGGATCCTGCTCCTGTATCAAGCAGACAGCTCACCAAGTTGGGGGGCTCTGCCTCGAGGGTGGAATTTCCTGACACCCACTGGCTCTCATCTAGGTACAATTTGAAAGTAAATTTTTTTTTAGAAATAATCTAAGTTACTACGGTTATTTAATAATAATTCATTCCAGATTTTCTTCAGATGTTGAAATTTGTTTCCCTCTCTCAGGGTGACTGGGATTCTGTCTCATTACATAATGAGAAGGTACAAAGTTTCCATGCTAAAAGAATCAATTCACAGGTGTGAGCATTTGCAAAATCAATGCCATTGCAATGCAAAGAAAATTACCCTCTATGGGGGGATAATTGACATTATAAAACACGTAGATCGATAATTCATTTAATATTCACTGCATCTTTACATCAATCCCATAAATAGAGGAGAGAAATGATCCTCCTTACACGTGATGCCCAGGGATTAGTGACTTGCCCAAGGTCACTTGATAGAATCTAGACTGAGACTTTGGATCTACTCTGCCTAAATTTTGGCCCTTTCAGGTGCTTCACAAGCCCTCATGAATGATAATATACAAATTCCTTGGAAGGGGTCCATTCCTTTCTTTACAAGAACTAAATGTACATTGTGATTTTAAAGTCATAAAATAAAAACTATTTTTGTTTGGAAAGCTTTTTTTTTTGTGTGAGGAAGATCAGCCCTGAGCTACCATCCATTGCCAATCCTCCTCGTTTTGCTGAGGAAGACTGGCCCTGGGCAACCTCTGTGCTCATCTTCCTCTACTTTATACGGGACATCGTCACAGCATGGCTTGATAAGTGGTGCGTAGGTCTGAGTCCGGGAACCGAACCTGTGAACCCCGGGCCGCTGAAGCGGAGTTTGTGAACTTCAAACTACGCCACAGGGCTGGCCCCTGGAAAGCTTTCTGATAGGCAAACCAATGATACTTCTGGATTATACTGAGCCATTTTAGTTTATTTATATTTTTCCCCAGTCTTTTTTCTTCCAATAGTACTTGAGTCTTTCAAATGATATTTTAAAAGTGATCTAATTATATTCAAATCAATTGAAACAGTACATTCAGCCTCAAATTTTGTTCTGCTATCATATATTGTCTATGTTATTGCCTTTGGTCTATGTATTTTAAAGCCATGTCAAATATGAAATGTGTGCATTTTATTGTATGCAACATGTGCATTTCAATCTTTACAAATTTTACAGAAAAAAATATTAAACACTAGCTAATTATAGGCATGCTGAAGTATTTAGAGGAAAGTGTACTGACGCCTGTAATTTGCCTTGAAATGCATCAAAAATATCATACAGATTAACGGATGGACAGAAAGATGATAGATAGGCATGGGATAAAGGAAGTATAGTAAACATTAATGGTGGAACCTAGGTGGTCGGTATTCAAATGTTTATTTTAAAATTATTTCAACTTTGAAATATGTTTGAAAATTTTTCTTGATAAATTGTTGGGAAAACACGCAACTTCTTATTTGATGTGGCTTTGCAGGGGAGAGGAATATGCCACCCCAAAATATGCCACTTTGGCATATTGATTATTTTGAATTAAAGTTACCTGAGAAACAGCTGGTGCCAGAAGGACAGTCTGACCCTCTTTTGTACCCCTGAAAGCAGGAAATAAATTTCCCACGTGAAAGGTTACCCTCCCTGTACCAGAAGGGTACAAAGCCTCCTTATCACCAGAGATAGGGAATTCAAGGCCGAGAAGGCTGTATAAACAAACCTCGTTATTTCTTCACTAATTTACTACCCCAAGCCCAAACCCCTTTGTCTTGTCAATTCTTCACAAATTTATTGTTTCTTTGTCTAAAAGGTATGGGCCACCTGCTTCGGTTATTTCTTTGAGTCTCATTTTTATGGGCTTCCACATGTACAAAATTAAATTTGTTTTTCTCCTGTTAATCTGTCTTATGTCAATGTGATTATTAGTCCAGCCAAAGGACTTAGAAGGGAAGAGGGAAAAGTTTTCTGCCATGACAGCTTTGATTTATTTTCTGGAGCTAGCTAAAAGAGAAAGGTAATTGGATATTTCTGTTAGCAGGTGATTTTAACTGCAATGGGATCATAACACAGATAGAGATTAAATTCAGACCCATACGGATAAAGAAATTCAGACTGATGCAAGCAGTATGATTTTCCACGTTGAACAGGTATATGTGTAGTATCAAATTGTGCATACCTTCGCACGTCGGGAGAGAACCCTCGAATTGCAGCTGGGAACTGAGCCTGCAGGTCAGCGTGTCGGTGCCGGACAGCGTGTACCCAGGGTGGCACTGGTACTTCACGAAATCTCCTGGGAGAGGCAACGCAACGTACTTGGAAATTATGTTTCTAAGACATTCAGAGTGTGTGAGTGTACCAAACACATGATGACTTAACAAACTAAGTCAATGCGCAAACGATTTCCAAACCAAGGTCTGCATTCGTTTTTAGTCTGTTTAATAAAATGATACCATTTTCAGTTCTTAATTTATAAAAGTGCTATCTTAGACTTAGCCAATATTAGTGCAAAAATTATGTGGCTGTTTTTTCTTACTTGACTTATTTGTCTTGTTCATTCCCATTCCCCAATGATTTCTTTTAAAAAAAGTGAAATAGATGCTTGGGATTTAAAGTTTTAGAATAGAATGGCTTTAATGCATCCAGAGAGGGCTAAACCATGACCTTGGCCTAATTAGCACAATGTTCCTGTTAACTAAGCCATTATGAGTAGAGCTGAAATTGGGTCACGTGGTTTGACCAATGATCTGAAACGAGGTGTGATAACAGGACAGAGTGTTCATAACAGAGACAAAGAAACCCTGGGTCACAATAATTAAACTGCAAACATATGCCACGGCTGGTTTCCTAATTCGACCTGATGATTATTTAATAAAACAGACCATTAATATAAAATACCAAAGTACAATTTCTAAATATTATCTTTAAATATATTCACCAATTATATTCCAGTTTCAATGAAAGGTCATTGTTATAGTGATCATTATTTTAGCCACAAATGACTAAGTTCTAGTGCATGAATATACTTCCCTAACTAAATATCCGTTTGTCTGTCTCTGAAAACTCATCCAAAGAAAAATATGAATTAGTAAATGCTCTGGGGAAGGAAATGTGATCAAAATGACAAAAGCAAAATTCAAATGGCAAAAAACAAAACTCATAGAGATGAAGAAAGAAAAATATATCCATTTGATATATGACTTCCATGTATAACCCCCTAACAATGCTTTAGGAATATTTCTGACAAATACTCATTTACTCATCTGAGTAACTATTACAGTTGGGGGTGAGTGTAAAAATGTAGAGTTGAGCTAATGGAATCATAATGAAGAAAACATTACCTATTTCAAAGTCCTCATCCTCAGTAAGCATTTCTGCCTGTGGAACTGCTGGGGGAGGCTGACACTTCTTGAGCTGAAATGCTGAATGGTTTATGAAAAAAAATAATAACTGCAATTATGTTTGCTGAATAAACAAAAATATTACAAAAAGCATTCTTTCGTTGTTATAATGCTTACGTACACTGAAATGTCTAATATTTGTAAATCATTGTTTTATAAAATTCTCAAGCTTCAAACACTCACAGGATTATTTAAAGACAAGGAATTAAAGTTGAAGAGAAAAAGTATACAATTAAAAAAATTATAACATTTAAATAAAACACTTTATATATTTTTGGAATTCTGCAAGAGAAATCGTCCTTCCATGGCCTGGTTCCATGCCCACATTTAGAGTTGATAAGGTCTCTCTGTCTCTTGTTCCAAGGACTTCTAGGGGTGGCAGTCCTCAAGAGCAATAAGGAACTGATATACTTTTTTCCAAATTATTTAGAAATATGTTCGTTCTCAAAACCCTCGGAGGTTTGCTTTTGCCCCATCTATAATTACACGACACTTGCTATAAACATTCATCTGGAGACAGGGATGAGGAAATCTACATAAGCTACTACATAAATGTATTTCCACGGCCTCCACATCAGAGTCTCATTTACAAGACACTCATCTTGGAATGAATCCAAGATCACTACAAAACAGACTTCACAAGACGTGAAATAATAAAGATGTCAGTAAGCAAAAAGGATCACAGGAAACACTGGCCTCAAATTCAAGAAAATCCTATCGGGCTCGGTTGGCAGAATCAAGGAACCTCAGCTGGAAATGAGGCAAATGTCAACACTAGGAGGAAATCAAAGGGAATTCTCTGCCTTAATCAACAGGGTGGGAGTACACTGACCGTGAAAATTGAGGACAAAGAAACCTCCATTTGAAAAGTCACTGTGAAACTTGAGCAGAACCTGATTGGTGGAGCTATATGCTGTTTCCAGGGCTGTGTTGCCACTGAAAACTCCCAGCTGCGGTGAATTCTGATCAGGACCATCCCTAGGAGAGAGCAAGAGTGGTTTGAATAGAATACAGCTTAAAATAACAATCCGTTTTCTCCTGACAGTTGGGCTCTATGTTGGGGAAAGCAGGATGGCTCCAGGGGGCAGGGCTGTCTGCACAAACCTAGAAGCGCAGAGCTGGCTTGCTATTCACTCCCACTGCCGACCTTTGCAGAGGAATTTGAGAGCCACGGACACATTGATTCTAGTGACTGCAATACCATTATCAGCTTCCTTTCAAAAGTCCCCATTTTAAAGTCTAAATTCAATGGTGTCTGTTTAATTCAGGTTGAGGTTTATGGAGAGTTTGCTACTGAATTAAAATATTTTTAAAAACTGAATAAAGTATTGGCACCTTCTGGATACTATGTTTAGAAATACCAAGATGTTCAATATTCACAAAGTTGACTGGACTTTTTAATCTCTCTCTCATCAGCGTTCTGACAGCAGGCACTCCACTTCTGTCAATGATGAAGATTTTTTGCTTCTACCTTCTAAATCCAGAGGTTAATCTGGGTGAAAATGCTGACATTATAGGGCTGGCGGTTTTTGTTGTTGTTTTCTTGTTTTGCTTTGCTTTTGAAATGGCAGCTTCCTACGGTCAACTCAAGATCTTGAGTTCTCTGTTTCTCTTCATTCCCACCGCCCCTGGTTCTGGTCTTTATCATCTCCCTCCGAGAGTTACTCCTACAGCTTCAAAAGCCAGCCTCTCTTCCTGCTCTCGGCTAATATATTTCCCACAAAATGAGACTGAGTATTCTGCAACCAGGATCTGGTCTTATAATTCCCCTTCTTAAAAGCCTTAGGTGAAGCCTCATTGCTCTTAGAATGAAGCCTGAAATCCTTCCCATGATTTATAAGGTCTTGTATTATCCGCCCAGATTACCTGCCCAGGTCAGCTCTTCTTATGCTCTCTGGGCTCTCCAGAGACTCCAGCCACACCTGATATCTTCCAACCCCTTGGACTCACCCAGTTCTCTTGCCTTACAGACATTCCAATACCCAGATCAACCGTACCTTGACAACAACTTCGCCAATACACATGCACACACACACAGGCACATGTAGACGCCCAGACGCATTCTGCAGTGTTAACTGCAATTACTCCTTTAGTTTCCCTGGCAGTTTATGCCAACAGCACATCCTGGCTCTTCAAATCTGGACTGTGCTCCCTTCTTGTGCACCAATGTTACCTACGCTCTACTTCTCCAAAGTGTCACAGGGGAACTGTCATCCCCGTTTCCTCCATAAACTCTCACCTCCAAAAGCAGGTAGGGATAGTCATTCCCATAGATAAGAAAATTTGGTCAAGGAGAGTGTAAGCAGCTTACCCAAGGCCACAGAATGCATTAGAAAGGGAGCCAGCCGGAGCCAAGGTCCCCACCCCTGGTGGTGGGCTGGGTATTTCCTAGAATCATGTGGAAGGGGAGTTCTGCAATGTGTACAAAGGATGGAGGGAAGGCTATGTGTAATCATTTCTTCAATATTTCTAGAAGCATCAAATTCTTATAATAGCAAAAGATCCTATCAGCTTCTATTTAAGAAAAAAAATCACAATAATCTTGGGCTATTCTCCTATATTCAGAGTCATCCTCGATACATCTACCATGCAGCAAAACTCGAATGTGTTACATGACGTTTACTCTCTACTTCTCTGGATTTCGTTGGTAAATTTCCTTTCCAATATCTACCTCACTACTTCATTTCCAAATACATAATCTGATGTATAAGTGACACGTAAGTGGTTACAAGAATGGTTTCTCACAATTACAGGTTGGTTTTTGTGGAAAAGTTCTCATACCAAACAGCGATGTAGTCATTAACAGCTTCGGTCTGCAGCAAGGTGAAGTTGATGTAGACTCCGTGACCAGGGGGCACAGTGATAAGCCAAATGCAGTCCTTCAAAATCGGGTACTCATCCGGAAATCCAGGGGAGTAAATGGTGCCATTCTGAGCTGTTACATTGTATCCACAAGGAGCTGAAAAGGAAGCCAAGAAGTCAACTTTAGAAAGAACAGTTAAATATTTCTAAGTCTCTGAAGTCCCCTAGCCAAAATTTTCCCTTATGAGAAATAATTGTGAAATATTTGTCAGTAACTACTTCGTAAAAATAATTCCCTTAGAGTCTTAAAACCTTGGAAGAATTATACTTCTAAGCTAAGTTATCTAAGTTTCATTTAAATATTCTCCAAACATTCAAAATCCCTTCAGGATAAAGTCATTCCCATATTATTAACAAAAAATATCCTTAGTCACTTATCTCTGGGATGAACTGATAATCCATTGGCTTATCCAATGTAAGGGATTATGTGGAAATTATACATATAATTGAAATTTTTTTTGTTTTAAGTGAGATTTCCAAAGCCTATTTAAATATGTCTAAGAGTGGCATCTAAGCCTATTTGCTTTGAAACAAAGACATTATCAGTTCTTCACAGGTTTATTCCTGAAGAAATGAGATAAAATTAGGTAAGTGGTGTTTTATTGAAGCATTTCCGTATCTCACCAGCTTTCAACTATGTGAAGAATCACAATAATACCCAGTCTATTTCTATTTTACTTAATAAATCGCTATTCACTGTTGCCATGGCAATTATTTTGTTTTATCTATGGAAAAATGAAATGACCCTATATTAGCAGAAGAACTTGAGATGTATTCTTTAATTCAGATAGTGATATAATGCATCAAAATCATAGACAAGTAGACTTTTTAATCAAACCAGAAGCTAATAGATGTGATATGTCTGTTACCAGCATAAATCTGCTGGAGCTTTTAAAGACTTGCCACTAAGGTATATAATTTAGATGGAGTGAATAAGTCAGAATACATTTAAAAATTTTTTTTAAAAATCAATACTATTCAAAATAATGACTGATGAAATACCATGAGGCAGAATATGATACATCGCTGAATTAATTGTACAGATGCATATGATTTCAAAGGGGGAAGAAAATGTACTGGTGTAAAGCAGACTGAATCTGGCCTGAGTTTTGGGTAAATTCATTAGAAGAAGGGGCTGTGGAGAACATTTTAGAAGTTTTACAGCATAATTATCGATAAGTAGGGTTTGAAGTCAGACAAACATTGATTTGTAACCTAGCAAAGCACAGTATACAGATGGTTATAATCTGTAAAATGGGGTCATGAACTAAGCTGCAGTCACAACAAGCTAGTTGGTGTCCCCTGGAGATGTCATACTTTTTCTCACCTCCAAACTCCACGCGATTGTTCACCCTGCACAGAAAGCTCAAATGCTTTTCTCCCACCTTGCTGTCAAGGTGCATTTATTTCTTCCTTCTAAACTCAACTCAAATGTCACGGACTCCTTAAAGACTCTCCAGGTGATTGGGGCTCTGGAGGCCATGGTCTGTTCATGTCAGGGACTGTGTGCCGTCTCACCTCATCCACAACCTCCTTTCATTAACCCGCACTGCACAGCTCAGATCATGATAAATAATAGACAACAAACAATCGATGAATTGAAAATGACTGAGATGGTAAACAGAAAACTCTTTAATAATAAGCGTGTTGAAGCTATTGGGCTGGCACACTTCATGTGTGACTTGAGGTGGACCATTTGCTGTTGATTTATAACTCTAAGATTTCCCTTGTGGACTTTGACTTTTCAAGTTGACTCTTGTAATTTATAACCACATGATGAACAGTGCAGTTGGGGAAAATCAAAACAAAATAAACAAACAGAAGTATGGTGCCCATCTCTTAAGGAGCAAAAGAAATAGCACAGTGATTTTCTCTGTGGGACATATAACTGGCTTCTGTGAGTCTTTATGTCACTTAATAGCTGTAAGCCATCGAGCAAGTCAGCTATCCTTGCCATGATATATCTATAATATTCAAATAACAAATGCTTTCATTCACTTATTCATTGAGTGTTTTCTGAGAGTCTATTAGGTACTGGGAAGTGTGGTCAGAGTTGGGGATACAGCAGAGAACCACAGAGACCCCATCACAGCTGCGGTGGAGCTCACTGTACCATGATGAAGAAAGATGGTAAACAAATGCTAAATAGCTATAAACTTCAACTTGCGTAAGTTCCACGAAGGAAAAGAGCACTACTTCTCACATGAGATCATGTTCTATCAATGCACACATAACATTTTCTCAACGCAAACTCCTGCTGTGTAGTCTAGAGTGGAAAAAAGAAAACCCTAAAAAAATAAGTCAGAGTTTCCCTTCCCATTCCCCCTAGCCTGTCCATTATCTTGTCCCAAAGAAGGCTTTCCCGTCACTGCAGTGGCACCAAAGGCAAGCTGATTTCCACGTCTCGGTGGGGTCCCTCTTGAACCCTACAGAGACAGTGGATGTGGGATCTAGCTCAGCATGACCTGCATCCATCCTCCCCACCCTCTCCCTGAAGGTGAGGCTCAAAGGAGACCCCGAGGTGGAGATCAGTCACAAAGCCTGCAGTGGGGAGCATCTAGTCACGGGGGGCTTGATGCACCTCAGCCTACCGCAGGGGACCTCCTAGCTTCTCACCTGTCCACCCGGGATACTGGTCACAGCCTGACAAGGAAGAGAAGCAGCTGGCCAGGAGACAGAGCATCAGCATAGTAGGCACTCAATTCACATCTGTAGCTCTTACTCCAGGGAACCAGAGTAAACAATGCATACTCATTTATACAGCCATGAATATACACTATGATACTGTGATTTACAATAAGAAATACATATTTGATCTTCTACTCTCTTCCTGGCTTAGGGCTCCTAAAAGCCTTGGAGTTTATTAAGTGATAAAAGACAGGAAGGTTTCTTTTGTTATTCATAACAAGCCCTTTTTAACTACGAAAAGTTTACGTTAATCTCTGATTTATAGCCAGTTAGTCAGGAGCACAGGTGACAACCTGGACTTGTGATTGGTGTCAGAAATGGGAGGTGGGGGGCAGTCTTGTGGGACTGAGCCCTTAACCTGTGGGGTTTGAAATGAGTTCAATTGTAGGACAACAGCTGGTGTCACAGAATTTCTTGTTGTAGGAAACAACCGCACATTGATAGCCAGAAGTGTCAGAAGTGTGAGTGTTGTATGAGACTTTTTATATACGCGCATGTTAGGAATAAAGAATTTAGGTTGGGAGAAAGGATTGGTGTGCAAAGCATAGTTGATGAAAGTTCTCAAGTTATTTCTAGTGTATTTCTCCAGAGAAAAATAAGTACATAAAATGATTAAGTTGTCTATTTCCATCACATTTTGGAGCCAGCATTAGCTATACTGAATATGATGGAGGTGATGTCTTACCTGAATGTGTCTCCCCATGTGAAATGTACTCAGTGCCTATTTACACCTAGACAGCCTGCACCCCATTCCTAATTTCCTACCCAATTCCACTCTACTTCTGCCTGAAGTACCTCTGTGAATTCCGTTCATGGGTTTACTTCCATGTTATTTGGGAAGGTGAAGCTTTTAGGTGGCTCATCCAAAAAAGTGCTGGGTGTATCTGACCAACTCATGGTCATAGGAAGCCAGAGCCAGAAGACATTGGACGATGAGCTGGCAGGCATGGTGGACATCAGCACAGGGAGGCAGAGACCCACATCATCACTTCATTTTATCTGGGGCTAGACTTGGAAAAATCAAGGGGCACTGAGACATGTCTTTATTGTGTTATCTTTTTCTCTCACTCACACATGTACAATGCGACTTTCTCTGAAGTGAGATGGATAGAAAGACAGAGCATATTAAATGACATTAAATCAAAAATTAAATTTTAAAAACCCTACATATCCACCAAGAGAGTTATAGATTTAGAGATGGTTTTCTCCAGGATTATATTAAGATTTCTGCCTAAACTTTAAGAGTGTGAAGAAAAAAAATCACAGTAGTAAACAGCCAATATACACATTTTGCATGAATGTTTATGAATTTTAAACTCTTGACTAATTATGTATCCAGGCACTGAAAGTTTAATCTCACCAAGTGTGGGGAACACCATAGGTATTTCTGACCTATTTTTTTCCTTCACTTACTCTAGTTTCCTTACAATAGTTTTAGGATAGAGAGACATAGTGCCCTCTATCTTAGGAATTGTTGTTTGATGATGAAAATTTTAAAAATAATATTTATGAATATAGGTAAGAAAAAGAGACAGAGTTGTATTCTTTTTAGTGCCATTTTTATTCTAAACTATTGGGAAAGATTATTTTCTGTATTTATCAATCAACTTGGTAAATTTTAATTTAAAAAATATGTATATAATACTATATTCTTTGGCTGGTTGGCTTTCTCACCTCACTTATGCAATCAAATAGCTTTCTGCTTGTAAAATATGTCAATCTGAAAGAAGATGCTAACACACTATTGCCACATATTAAGTTACCCTAATTATTACCTCTGTCCACATAGTTCCCCGTCACACATACTAGTGGATTTTAAAGTGAGGTGTATTATGACAGTGTTTAAACTTAAAAAAGGAACTTAAAAATATATCTACATAAATATTTGAGTGATAAAGCCTTAATTCAGTCAACAAAATAATTTAAATTTTTGAACTATATTTGTAAGTATAGATGCATATTTAATTATCAAATTACATTTAATAAATTAATAAACCACAGTCGTCTTAACCATATTTTAACAATTATAACTCTTTTTTTTAACTTCTGTATAATTATAAGTCACTGGCAAAAATGATACTGTCTTGAATTTCTCAAACCACTTTCAGACATATTTTTTCTTTTTTTCTTTTAATAGATATCAAATTTTTAGTCCAGATTTTTTTCAGATGTTTAAAATGTACTAATTTTACATAATAGAGTTTTATGCAACTTATACTAATATTTTCAGCATATACACACAAACTGGTTTAACATATACTTGTGAAGATTGATGCCTTAGGATTCAGAATTCTTGAATCTTAATGGTCTAATTTCTCAATCTTTAATAAAGATGCCCAGAAGTTGTTCAAAGTATCTATGTTTTTTCTGATTCTTCTGAAGTCTACGGGGCTGGACCTTTGAAGATTTTTTCAGTCACTTGCCCTACATACCAACATAAATCTGAAGTGACAAACCACTCTCGATTAATAAATAAATATCAGGTGACGCTGCTGGGTAATCAGCAGAGTTTGCTGGTGTCCAGTGAGGGGCCTAACTGTAGTCTAAGTGAACACTAGTAGACACCTCAACAGCCTCATCATTCTCAGGAAACAAGGACTCTTTTTACTATATATTTTTTTGGAAATACAACCTTACACAGATAAAATAACTTTTGTTTTGAAATGATATCCTCTGCTTATTTTTTTTAAATTTAATCCAATATGGAAGATACTAAATACACATTAGATGGTGTTTAGAAAATTTACTTTATGATATAATTTTACATGAATCTTATGTTTTGGTTTTTCATCCTGTTTATGACATAATCCGTACAAAGACAAATATAATGGTAAAAATATTTGTGTAGTAAAGAATTTGGCCTTGCCCAAAGGGAGGTCTGGCATCTGCCCTGGATTCTGGGAGGTAATTTATGGCATATCTGATAAAAGTGTCTTCGTTTCAGGTGAAGGCTGGCTACACCCAAGGGTCTCAGGGTGGGATTGGCCAGGCCAGAAAGACCAGCCGTGCAATTTAGGGTGGGGCCTTTGGGTCACAGGATATCGGTGGGCCTCGAAGCTGATATCTACCACTGGACAATCAATAATCAGACATGCCTACATAACAGAGCCCCAGTGAAATTTCACTAGGACACTAGGGCCCAGGTGAACCTCCCAGGTTGGCGATATCCTGTGCACATCATCGCACATCAATTCTGAGAGAGTGATCCATCTCCTAGACTCCACCCTATGACTCTCTTCCCATGGATGATCTGAATGTGTCCTTTACTACTCGTGAACCACAGCTGTGAGTCTAACAGCTAGTGAGTTCTGTGAGTCCTTCTAGTGAATTACCCAACCTCAGAGTGATTTTGGGGCAACTTTCAAACTTTCAGCAGGTGTCAGGAGTGTTGGCAGACTCGAATGTCTAGAGGACTTTAGCTTCACAATTTGGCCAACCCCAGGAAGTAATCGATGTCATGATGTAACTACAAAAGACAGCGTCACCTTTAAGCTGTGTCCAAAACCATATATTTTGTTATTGTCACACTGACAAAATAATTCTAAGCCAGCAGTTATTTCCATGTTGGAAAACTGGGTTTGAAAAAGCAATGAAATCTAATTAAATATTTAACTATTTTTCTGATATCAAGGAGTCTCCATTTACATATGAATTCAAAGGATTCAGGCAAAAATTGCAAATAAGAAAAGGGTTCAATCTTAACAATTCAAAGTAATTTATGTGTATAAATATATCACTTTTTAAATGGAAAGTAGTATGAAAGGGTTTTTTTAAGTGTTTTAATGAAAAAATACCAGATATGTAACTGCTATAATTAATTGTATAAAATAATTTTTTTTTTTTTTGTGGTGAGGAAGTTAGCCCTGAGATAACATCTATTGCCAATCTCCTCTTCTTCCTGAGGAAGATTGGCCCTGAGCTAACATCTGTGCCCATCTTCCTCCACTTTATATGGGATACCACCACAGCATGGCTTGACAAGCAGTGCGTCAGTCTGCGCCCAGGATCTGAACCTGCGAGCCCTGGGCCGCCAAAGTGGAGCACATGAACTTAACCACTATGCGACCGGCCCCTAAAATAATTTTTTGAATGCTGTTTTATATGTTATTAAATTTGTATTAGACTAAGAAAAATATTTTTTTAAAATATAGCTAAAGGTTTTTTATAGTTGTTTTTATAATGACATAGAATGGAAAAATATAGGCCAAAAATATGATTTAAAAAGTCCACTGATGTGCTTTTGTTTTTTCACTTCTTCAGTAGAAATTCAAACACAGCTGGATGCCTTTCCCTTTTCCCCTTGGGATATAAGTATTTAGCATTTCAAAGATCCACAGAGTTGGTAATTTCTTTATTTTTTATTCAAAGGTACTGTATTTATAACGTTAGAATATTAGGTTTACAGTAATTTTCTGTGCCGTATGCATTCTTCATAAACAAAGTACTTGATCTATTCATTTTAACTTGCTATTGCAAACATTTCAAAGTCATCATAAAAATTAGGTAGCCATACAGAAGCTTTACAGAAGTGATTCCTGCTCAGACCAGGAATAGTCAGTGAGTGCAGACTGGAGAATCCAGGTTCTCCATTACCACTCTCCATCAACCGATTCCAACAGCTCCCAAGAAACCCTGATCACCATCAGTATTCAATGGCACTGCTTCATTTTCTCCTAAGACTGTTTCCCCACTATGTCTTTTCTTACACTATTTCTTCTACCTCGGGTGTTCTCTATCTCTGAGTAGCCCGATACTACTATCCTTCAAGGCCCACTACAAAAACGAAATCAGTTTTCTGAAATACGAAAGCAATGTATGATTATTATAAAAGTTAAACAATAAAAAACATCTAGGGTAAAATTAACAAGCACTCTTTCTCCATCTCTAATCCCACAGTTTGATGGAACTGCTAAAAAGCTCAATTCTGCTGTCATCATAAAGATTTCCCAATCGCTTCCCAACCAAACACCATCCTTTTTACCTGCAATTCATCAAAACACTCTCCTTATGTCTGGTTTTGCAATACGAATATTTGCGTGCATTATTTTGTTATCCTTATAATTTCCTTGTGGACAAAGCCTATTTATTCATCTTACTGGCATATGTCATATTCCTGAAATGCTAAGTAGAGTGCATTTAACATAATAGATTCCCAATTTTTATTTGTTGAACAAATTAATGAATTCTTGAATATGTTCATTTAATATTTGATGCACTACTATCTACACAAAAAATTAAATTCCTCCCAAGAAGAACGATTAACCTACCATCACATCTTGGAAAAGGATAGTTCCAGTTTCTATTGATCCCGTGCTGACAGGTGAGGACCGGGTGGCCGATTAAAATGTACCCAGGATAACACTCAAAAGATATCGACTGTCCCACGCTGTAATCTGAGTTGATCATATACCCGTTCTGAAAAGGAGGTGGATCTGGGCAGTTCTGTAACTCATAGGCTGAAACAGACAGACAGAATCAAGCTCCTATATAAGAAAAGTCAGCCTGGAACTCAGAGTAATACGATTACACGCAGCTGCTTGAGAAGAACGTTTTTGATATGTTTTAAAAAAGGTCTTTTCCAAGTTGCTAGTTACCATCCTGATTAAGTAAAACAATAATTAATAGCAATAGAATTATAGCAACTTGCATTTACTGTGTGTTTTAGAAGTAATACAGCATACACCAGACATAAATTTGACAACGTTAATCTTGGAAAGAGAGTATATGAGGTATATTTAACTTAAAGAAAAGGTAAAACAAATGATAATTAAAAGTGCCTATAAAGAATGTCAGGTGAACGTGGACCTAATTCTCTTTTAATTCAAGAGTTAATTATAGGGCCGGCCCCGTGGCTTGGCGGTTGGGTGCACGTGCTCTGCTTCTGGCGGCCGGGGTTCGGATCCCAGGCGTGCACCAACGCACCTCTTCTCCGGCCATGCTGAGGCCGTGTCCCACATACAGCAACTGGAAGGATGTGCAACTATGACATACAACTATCTACTGGGACTTTGGGGGGAAAACAAGCAAAAAGAGGAGGATTGGCATGGATGTTAGCTCAGGGCTGATCTTCCTCACACACACACACACACACACACACACACACACACAAATAATAAGAGTTAATTATACTAGCACTCCATTCTAAGTGCCTCTGACTAGGAAATATGTGTTGTTAGGTTTTGATTTATTTAATTCACTGTTCAATACAAATAGGGAAATCCATTCCATTTTCTTAATTTTTTCCTTAAAGAAAAAACAACCTATAGAATCATTGCACTAGCAATTACTATCAGTACAATCATGCTATAAATTTATTTATTTATTCCATAAAATAAAGATACTGTGAAGTTGACAACAGGATACTCTGGTTAAACCTTGACTGTAGTTAGCAGATTAAAAAATCCTTAATTTCACTTCCCTTTCACATTTCAGCATCCCTTGGTTTCCATTATTTTCATATTTGCTATTGTATAGTGTCTGCACAACAGTCAGAGAAGTAGCTGAAGAATGACTGTGAGCAAAAAGACAGGTATCAGAAGATGTACCACTGCGAAGGCCTTTGAGCACCTTGAGGTAATTCCTGGCACCGGCTCGCCTGGGCTCCAGCACCGGGAAGAAGTTGGAGGTACACTAAGCCCTCCCAGAGTGGGAGGGGAGGAATGCTCTCTAAGGAGGGCACAGGGCCGTCTCTGAAAACCAGCATCCACCCTGACTCTGTCAGTCATTCCCAGAAGCCTGTGTTAATCCCCAATTGCTCCGACATCACCCCTGGTGTCTACTGTGCAAGGATGCAAGGAGAGGGCTCTGCTCACCAACAACAGGGTGAAAATCAAATTGGCTAAATCACGTGACAGGACTTTATACATTGTGAGTGCTATAAATAAAGTGATTTCATTTTATTTCTAAAAGCTCAACATTATAAGGAATTACACCTATGATATATTGATAATATCTAAGAGGAAACAAGCTGGTGAAGTTGAGTATTCTCATTAGCTCAATGCTATCTTTTGACGCACAGCCTTTAGAACTCAATACAGAGATATAAGTTTTATTTATACAAAGTCAAGCATATTACCAAGTATAGAATGAGTTTTCTGGTGCTGCTTCTTGGTGAAGCTGCATTATGACATGGAATGGCTAGGAAAATTAGAAGGAGAAACTCTGGATGTGAAGATTTATTCCAGATCCATGAGCATTACAGGCACAATTATATTAATGAAATTCAAAATACTAAGGATCATCTGCAGAAGGAAAAGGGCTTTTAACGCACAACTTTCAAATTTGCAATAGAGCATAAAGACAACAGCTGCATGGTCTAGAAAGGTGTTTTCTAGTTGTTTCTCTGCATCTTATCAGTAGAATCTCTCATTGTAGAAATCTACATAGTGCCACGTTTCAAGGGAAAAAAATCTATAGTTGTCCAAGGGAAAAGAGTATCCTCTCCAGTATGGAAAAGTATGTCTTGAAAGCACATCCTTCAGGGCTACGGAGGCATGTCTGTCACTCTCGGTTGCTTCTGTAATGTTATCATCCCCTATTTGAAAACTAGATGCTTAGAAAACTCTGCCACCATGTGTAAGAACAGAAATCCCAGTCAAATCAGCAGGTAAGAACAGAAATCCCAGTCAAATCTCACCCACACACAGATGCAGACACACATACACACTCACACACAAAGGAACATTCACACACAGACACACACAGATGCACAGACACACATACCACATATGCACACACGCCATGCACACTCACACACATGCATATACACACATGCCAAAACACACCCCATCCATGTGCACGTGTGTGCAAGCACACACCTATACATGTGTTTGCACACACATCACAAACACACATGTGCATGTGCATGCAGATACACATCACATGCACTTACACATATCACGTGCACACACCTCATACACACGTGCATACATACACAAACTCGTGTTCATGTGCCCATACATGTATGTGCACACACATCACACACACACATCACATGCGCGCACACATGCACACACTTCTTCTCCATTCCCTTACTGTGCTCCTCTCTGGGCCAACCTGGGAAACACTCAGAAGGCCGACCTCCTCTCTGAGGGGCCGCCCCATGATGAAGGCCACGAAACAGCCTTTTCGTGAAATCCAGGCCCAGATGGTTGAGCCCATACCCACAGGGCGTGCGATGCCTCCTTGCAATGTTGTTATTTGAGTCTAAAATGACTGTACAGACCCACGCCCACAAAAAGAACAGGGAATCCCAGACTGTGCTTCTTTGCATCCCCGTTTCTTCTTTATTACTCTCTTATAGGAAATTCTAAGTTTGTTCCCATTCTCGTTTTGCTTGAAATGCAATAAACTCTGTTGAAGAAATGATTCCCCTAATATGTCAAATAAAACTGCTAATAAAAACTTTCTTAAAAACTATCCAAAACGAAGGCCGGTTTCCATGGGAGGAGAATCCAGTACAAGGATGTTCACCGTAACCTCATCTGCATTGGAATACTCCATCCATGCGTCAGCAGGGCCTTGGGGCATCGATACAGGCATCAATATCCCAGTGAGTTATGAATAAGGTAACGGTTAACTGTCACATGAAACAGCACTGGACACAGGCACAGACACACGTGCTCACACACATTCACTCACACACGTAATAAAATGGAAGACGATTTCCCTGCTTTTGCTATGTGTTTGTTGGATAATTTAAGAACTACAATCAAGTTCTCTTTAGGGCTATAAGAAGTTAGATTTGAAGGCTCTGCCCACTTCTACTCATTTGTTTAACTCTGTGAACGGGACTGAGATGGACATTTCAAAGGTGCCATTCAGGAACCCCATGATTCCAAACCCAGTAGCCGTGGGCTGCTCTCTCTATTACATCAAAAAAAGTGGTTTTCCTTTTCTTTGTGGCACCAACACAACTGTCCCGCGGAGGGGTTAAAAAGAAAACAAAACAAAACAAAAGAGCGAGCAGCCCAGGTAGGCAGGGCAATAGCTTTTATCCCCTATTCGTTTATTGAGTGAAATAAAATTATGTATTGAGTGTCTGCTATGTTATAAATATTATTTATAAATGGAAACTAGACAGAAATGGGTCTTGCTTTGATGAAGCTTACATTCTATTTACGGAAATAGACACAAATAAATCAATACATTGGTAGCTATATAAAATAATTGTAAGTTTTGTAAACTATTATTAAAAAATAAACAAGGACTGAAATAAGAAAAGAACAAAAAGGCTGAAGGAAAGGAAGAGTGGTCAGACATTACTTCCTTCAAAAGGAACATTTCAATCGAGATCTGAATGGAGAGAAGGTACAGCCAGGCAAAGACCAAGAAAGGAAGACTCTTCGGCCAGAGGAGTGTGCTCCAGAGATAGAAAGAAGGCAGGTACTTCAGAGGAAGTGGGGAGCTCAGGGAGATGGACCTCTACCGCCAGTGCCCCCACCTTCGTGCCTCTTTCACAGTCTAGGGAGGTGTTAACAGGGGAGGATCTAGTAATCAAACTGGTCAGACCATAGGTGGTTCATTAGAATATGTTTTATAAATGGACATAGACTGGTTTTTAAAAGCCAGGACTCATTCTTCATCTTGTAAATCATATCTGTCAGGTAGAAGACCTTAATACAAAACCTATGGCTCATTTCAGAGTTTTCTTAATAATTTAAAAGGTCAATTAATTTTTTTTCAATTGTGAATGATACGCTAAGTATAAATATCAGTTACGCTATTTTCAGATCTTTGTTCCAAATCTCTTCTTCAGTGGAGTACTTCACTATGTAAATGTCAACATCAATGTTCTCTGAAAGTTTTCATTTCAAAGTCGCAAGTCACCTTCCCCTGTCTTTCCCAAAGTTTGATTCATAGGCATATTTACACAGTGATGTATGTGTGATTGGCAGGACTGTATTAGGAGTCAGAATTAAAGTAAATAAAAAGAAGTAATAAAAACAATTCTTTAGTATGCTAAAAGTAGATGGATTTTGGAAGGATTCCCGCTATGTATTGTTTAGCACAGGTGCAGTGGATTTTGTATTGCCTGCTCTGGCCAATGTACAAGCATCTGTGAAGGTCTGCGATGCACAGGTATGCCCGGCTGCAGAGGCTGGAGTCTAGTTAACGTGAACTCTGGGTTTGAGCGTGAAGGATCTCTCAGTTGTCAGAATCCTCGTGCGAGCATGGCTTTATTGTTCTGTACTCATCACTCATGGTGAAATCATTAATTCTCATAAATTGATTTTAAAAATATAAAAAATGTTTTCAGAAAAAAGAAGCCATCAAGTAAGAGAGACAGTAAAGACCAGGTCAGTGGAATTTGCTAAAGATGTCACCTTTTAGCATAAAGTAAAAGTCATGATTTTCAAACAAATTCTGGTAGAACCGAAGGCCATGAACTTGTTCACATATGTCTGCATTCCTATATTTGACAATTCCTAAAGACTTTTAGAGGTATTAACAGTTC